ACAAGAATTAGGCATTTATTCTTTTAAACTGCTTTTTAATTGTGCTTGTTGTTGTTGTTATAAATTTTTAAACTGTTTTAATGTGGGGTTTTTTTTGGGGGGGGGTTATTTGGCTGTTTCTGTTTATATTTTGATTATGTATTTTGTGCTTTATATTGTAATTTTATCTTGTGAACCCCCCTGAGACCTGCGGGTATAGGGCGGTATATAAATTTAATAAATAATGATGATGATGATTTTGTTTGTTTGTTTGTTTTGCAGGGTTTTCTGGGGGTGTGATGATTCTTTAGATTGTGCCCAGTAGGATTTAAAAAAACAAAACAAAAAAACAATAAAAATCTGCATAGCATGACCAATAGATGTTTGATGAGACTCAATAATGATCATTGCCTTAAAGAGATTTTGGGGAAAAAAGCAAGCAAAATGTTGGTTTCCATTGTGTTGTGTGTTTTGATTACACCCAATAGAAAGGGGGTGGGGAATTAGTGGCTCCCCAGAAGTGGGTGGGTGGGTTACAACTTCAGCCCCTGTCAGCCTGACCACTGGTCAGGGATGATTGGAGTTGCAGTCCAGCAACATCTGGAACATCACAGGTTTCCTGCCTCTGCTTTAAAAGCGTTAACTGGTTAGGAACATAAGACGAGCCCTCCTGTATCAAGCCAAAATCCTGCATTTTGATGCCGCTGAGGGCCAGCAAGCAGAACCCTAGTGCAACAGCCACTCTCTCCACTTCCCAGCAACTGACATTGATTGTCTCCCTCAGAGTTCCTCCTGAAAAAGTTTCCTGGAAAAATGTAAGATCTAAAATACAAAAACTTCAAGTCTGCTCTTGCATAATTGCCCACATTTATTTTAAGAACTTAAGAACCGGATGCCTGTGTGAAGCGTGAAAGGCAGGACATGAGTGCAATAGCACTCTTCTCTCTTAATTTCACAGGAACTGATATTCAGAGGTGTATACTCTCCAACAGCGGAGGTAAAACATGGTCATCATGGCCAGTAAACATTGATAGCCTTATCCACTATGATTCTTTCTAATCTTTTGTTAAAGCCATCTAAGTTGGTCCATACCTTGTGGAAGTAAATTCCACCTTTTACCTATGTACTCTGTCAAGAAGGGCTCTTTCCTGACTCTTCCAACATTCATCTTCATTGGATGCCCCTGAGTTCTAATATTGGGACAGAAGGAGAAAAACTTATTCCTATCCACTTGTTGATTGCCTTGTGCCATCCAAATAATCATGCGGAAGCATGGCTGCCAAGGCTGTTTAAGGCTAGCAAGCGTCCCTCAGCCGTAGTTGTTAGCTGCAGCTACAGCCTCCCCATTCACTGAATGCCTAGTCATGCAGGACTGAGGGTGAATGTTTGGTTCTCATTCCTAAATCCATCTGTGGAATGAAGCATTGTTTTTAGTGTTCTGTGTTATCATGGGATCAGTAGAAATAACTGGTTCCATCTGGGTCTGTGGTTTCACCATATATCATCACTAGCAGGTTCAAGCAAGGATTCAAGTGAAGCAGAAGCACAGCCCACATTGGTGAGCACCCTGAAGCACTGGGGTGGTGTTTCAGCTTGGAGGGACCTGGGGGAGAGATGCTCCCACTTAGGCCCTGATGCTGTCATTGACCCCAGGGCACACAAGACCAGGGCTGATGCTGCTGGTAAATGTGTAGAAAATGAATCAAAGAACGGTTATATTAGTGATTTAAGAGTTGTCACTATGGTTGGATCTATGGTTGGGGAGAAATTTAGAAATCTACTCTTCCCCAAACAATATGCAAACCATAATGCTGCTATCGTTTGAAATTCACATTTCTTCAAAACATTGTGATGCAGTTCTCCTTAAAAAAAAAAAAGTGTATACAAAAATCCATATATAATAGTGAGGAAAGTGCATTAACATGAATAAGTCACTGCAAATGGCATACCTAAATTCATGGTATTATGGGAAATTGTTTGCAGAAATGTGAATATTGTGGGAAATGTGCATTAAAATGCTAATGAATTCTGGATTTCCCAGAGTAATAATTTTGATGATCTTCATCCCATCTCTACAATATGAAATTCATGAAATGTGGTTAGAGAAGAAAATCATGTTTGAGAAGGCAAAGGTCAATAAGTGCTATCCTGCAAAAGCCCTGCTACAAATACTGTATATTTATCATAGTATATATTTTTATAGGGGTGCATGGGGTGTTAGGGGAGGGATAGTTCCTCTGGTGTGGGACATGTTGTGCTCCTTCTGGGATAGTTTGTCCAGCTTTGGTTCCCACCCTGCACTCAGCTTCCACCTGTGGCTCCTAAAAGCATGTGACAGCAGCCACACCCTGTGAAATGGCTTTGACTGGCCAGTTAAACCAGGTGAGGGTAGTTGATGGGTCTCAAACCCTTGGTGAATTAAGGACTTCCCATGCATGTGAAGACAGGCCCCAGCAGGTTGAGGAGATGAGACCAATAATGGGTCCAATGGTCAAGAAGGTGGTTTCTGCACGTGCTGTAGAGGGAAGTGAGGGGCAGATGGGGACCATCAACCTGGGAATGTAGCCCATCTAGGAGAAGGGAAACTCTGATCCTAAACCTCCACTGCCCTTGCAGAATATCTTCAGGAGAAAAAAGGCTAAGGAGTAAACCCTACACAAGTCCTGAGTCCCTAAGATGGTGGGATGGTGCATTGTATGCCTCCTTCAGGCAACTCCTGCAGCCAGTATTATGCCAAGTGTATTGCTCTGCTTTCCTTTGGCCAAGGGGTCTTGTCCTCTGGTCAGCCTAGGACACTGCCCAGGGAGGTCGCTTCAGTCCTGCTAACCCAGAGGTTTGACTTCACCAGAAGCTGCACTCCATTGTTGCTCAAGAGAGATGGATGTCTCGGCTTGAGTCAGATGCAGGTCAGCACAAAAGACGCAGGGCTCCGTTGTCAGTGACATTAACTCTTTATTCAAGGAAATGACATACAACTTGGGAACACTTCCCAGTAGATCTTGCACCTAAGAAGCAGTTGGCAAGGCTGAAGATCCCTGCCTTCCACCCCTCTTCTGGATGTTTCCCAAACAGTCTCAAACTGCGTCTGGCCATTTCTGACCTCTGCTCTGCTCTCCTCATTACTCTGCACGTTCTTGGAGAAAGCGGGGGGGGGGGGAGCTTGTCACAGCAGGAGAGGGAGGCCCCCAGGTATCTTCAGAAGCCTCTTGACCCTCCTGCTCTGCTTCAGGCTCAGAGTCTGAACTGCTCCCTGAACTGCTTCAGGTTCTTCCTGCTCACTAAATCCTGTTGCCCCTTCAGCATCCAGCCCCTCTTCCCAATCTCCTCCCTCTGACCTCTTCCCAGTGTCCCACCACCAATCCTCTGACTCTGAGCCTTCCTCCTCTGGGGTTTCCCTTGCCCAACGCCTCCCACCTCTCCTCTTTATCCACAGATGCCAACAACAATATTTTCTCACAATAAAAACAAAACAGTATTTAGGCAAAATTATTTATTCGAAGGTCACATGCACTCCACTAGCCATTTACAAACCCTTCAGAAATGCATGGTTTACATTTGGTATCTGTATACCAGTTTTATTTTGGTTTTCTTAAGCATAAAGGAGTGATTGCATACAAAATAAATAATTGCATAGCATAAATAAAATCCATTGTATAAATAATAATAGTGCACATCACTTTTTCCATTCACATATAAATCTTTCAATAGACTTATTTTTAACCTACAACATGAGGGTATGTTTGAATATACAAATATGCCTGAAGTATCTGTTATCCATAGGAACATAGAAAGCTGCCTTATACTGAGTTAAACCATCATCTAGCTCAGTATTTGTATACACTGACTGGTAGTGGCTCTCCTGGAGATGCTAGGGATTGAACTTGAAGCCATCTGCATGCAAAACAAATGAGCTATCCATAAGAATGAATGAAGCTCACACAGTATGTCATATGACCATGTTCTCCTCTATGCCATTGGCCGCAGTCTGTGATGCCTGTACATTTTAAGATCAACCTTGTATTTCATAGATATTATACAGTGGAACCTTGGTTGTCAAATGTAATCCATTCCGGAAAACCGTTCAACTTCCAAAATGTTTGACAACTGAGGTGTGATGGGCGGTCAGCAAATTCCATTGAGAAAATGGAGAAGCACACCTTGATTATTGTATTTTAGTGTTTTGTTGGAAGCCGCCCAGAGTGGCTGGGGAAACCCAGCCAGATGGGCGGGGTATAAATAAATTATTATTATTATTATTATTATTATTATTATTATTATTATTATTAGAAGCCATTAGACTTCCAAGGCGCATTCCAAATTGGAAGCATTCACTTCTGGGTTTTTGGCATTCGGGTTCCTAATCATTTGGCTTCCGAGCTGCTCGAAAACCAAAGTTCCACTGTGTATGCACACACACACACACACACACCCACACACACAAACAAACTACAAACAAACTCGAAATGGCTTAAAGCACGATTACCAAAATTCACCCACTGAAAGAAATGCTACTTCCTGTTTACAGAAACAGCAACTGAACAAACAAGCAAACAAGGGAATAAATAGATAAAATTTAAGCAACAATTAAAAGTGCTAGGTATCCAGGCTGGACCTTGGTAATAAGGTATCCCGTGTGAGGCCAAAATTTGAAGTGGGGGGCCCAGCGCAAAGCCACCTTCCCAAAGCTGGGCAAGGGAGGAGTTAAGCTTTGGGAAGCAGGCATGAGACTCTGGCAGGGTCCTAGAGCCCTCTTCTCCTCCTTCCCCTTCTCCTTCTTCTCAAAGCTGGCCAAGCACTAACTAGGCTTTGGGAAGGACGTAGGAAGGTGCCCTTGCACCCTGCATGGGGGAACCGGTCACACTGCCCTAAAACCTCTGTAGGTGTAGGGTGATCAAATAAATAAATAAAGCCAAAATACAATTCCATATTCTTTGGAGAAGATGCACTGAACATTTGGTCTTCTTCACGAAACTTGGCTCAGTAAAAATGCATAACAAAGCATTTGAAAAACTTTCTTTGTCTCATTGCTTTGCTTCTGTTTTCAACCACTTGCCGTCATGCAGTCTCTTCAGAAATATTTTTAGATTTTCCAATAGTTGCTTGGGGCTTCCTTTTGAAGTTTTACAATTCAGGTCACTTTCCTTTTATTAAAAAAAAAAAAAGAAAACTGGTGTTGAAAGATGTGGTGTTCCAAAGTTGTAGATCAGGTGTGAATTGGAGTCCGTAATATCAACTACCTATCTGCTCTTACAACAAATATTTCATTTGATGAGTGTGATTAACATAGCTATTATGCATGCACACAGAGACATTAAATAATTGCTTGTTTTGTAATCAAAAAATCACTGTTAATTGATTTTTATCGTCAAGTAATAATAGTCTTTAGTGAGTGTGGTCTCCACAACCAGAAGTTCATTTAGATGGGGTACAGTGATAAGGCAATCACACGCTCAGAAGATGGGTCAGTGAATGAGCATCAAAATTTAATTACAACTAGTAGAAATTAACTTCAGCATGGCTTATTTTCAAAGATGGAAATTGAAATAAATATACTGCGAGTATTTACTTTACTGGGAAAGCCACTGTCTCTCAACCTTTCACCTTTTTGCATGCAGGTGCTAATTCTGCTTCTTAATGCCCAGGTGTCTTACTGCATTGTGATGCTCATTTAGGCCTAAGTCACATCCACACCATACAATGAAAGCAACACCATATATCCCATGCATCCCAGCATGAAATGAACAGTTCCACAGAGCAAAGTAATCGCGTTGGTATGTATGGGGTAAGGTGAATCCTCAAGTAAGCTGGCCCTAAGGTGCCAAGACCTTTATGTAATAATAGTAATGTCTTGAACTTGGCCCGGTAACAAATCAACAACCAGAGGAGATCTCTGAGCAGAGGTCTTCTACGATGGCAAGGTTTCACTCCTGCTCAGCTGCGATACAGCATCCAGCAGGAACTGCAGTTTTCAGATCCAGAGCAAAAGCACATTACAAAAACCCAGTTATGAAGTCACCGGTGCCTGAACTACTGTGGTCAAGCTTCCCCAGTCCAGTCCAGATAAACGGCCAGTGAACTCTCCCTGATACTGGTTCCCTCCCCCCCCCCCTTTCCAAGTGTCAGAGTTTTTGTTTGTGAGGAGGGGGTTGTCTAATGGCAGGGATGAATCCCATTATGAACTGGGTATAAGCTCATATTGGGTTGAACATTTTTGGAACTGTGGGAGCTCGGATTTCAAACTCTTCAAGTTTTGAATTTGGCCCCATCACTGCTCCTAAATAGAATGGAGCCAATCAGTTAGCTTTGATCCATTTACTATGCTCAGGATTAACCAGCTCTGTGCAAACACCTGCTTTGCATCACTGCAGATAAGACAGCTCTTTGTGAGCAAGCTATCTAGGCTTCATAACTCAAAATTGCAGCAACATAATGTGTGTGGATGATCATAGCTATGGCTCTGGATTTGTCATGCTAAAATAGCAATAATCCACTGGGGACTCAGCTAAGCTGGTAAAGAAAAAGTGATTTATATGCGTTGTATGTGTGATATACACTGTGCCACCAGATAGCAACGTGGAGACCAGTTTTTCTCTACCTGTTTTCCCTATTTGAATTTACAATACTTTAAACTGAAACGCTTCTTTGATGTGTCTAGATCCAGCCTAAGGGTCACCAATTTCTGCCACTAAGCCCAAAACTAGTAACAACTCTATACATCAGATGCAGCCAGTATAGTGCCCTCCTGTCGTTTCTGGACTCCATTTCCCATCATCTCTGACCATTGGACATGCTGGCTGGGGCTGACGGTCCAACCACATTGACTACCCCTCATATAACCATTGAGTTATGCCTAATGTGAGTATTTAAGAGAAAACTGAAACAGATCTACTTACATTCTGTGAATGCCACCTCTTGGCAAGTTCATGAAGGCTGATTCTAAGATTATGATATTCGTGGAACTGTGGCACAGAATCCATGGAATTGTTAAATGTCTTCAAATCTTTCTTTTCACACTGTTTCTGAAATGAGAGGATTATTTTAAGGTCATCTGTCAGATTAAACACACCATTGTTGAATATGGCAGCACTACAGCATAGCTGTGGAATTCAGGGCCTCTTCTGGTTCAAAACCCATTCATTTCCGTAGGGCTTTTACCTGAGAAACTCCAAATGATCATAGGTAGCACCGGATGAGAGGCAGGGAGGGCAGTGCCCCCCAAACAAGGAGCTTGCCCCCCCATCCCCTCCCATTTCTGAACTTCTGTCATCAACTTATGCTATTATTTTTCTTTCTCTCCCATGGAGAAATATACTTTACCTGTTCTGTGCCAACAAAGACTTCTTCTTTTTTTCTGGTGCCACCACTACAGATGAGCCTTCAATTTTCACAACTAGCATTTCCTCTCACAGTCATCTCTCCGCCTCTCCCCCGATCCAGATTTAAAAGGCCTCCAGAATGTTCGAACCCCAATTTTATCTGACTTAGAGATGCAAATCCTGAACAAACACTGACCACAGGAGGGAATTCATCTTGACTTCCGCAGCTAAGTGACCCTCACCATGATAACAAAATGGAACAACTCTGTCCTGTGTTTTCAATGTAGTCATAAGCAACTATCCCATAAGCATAAGGGTTTACCCTTGTATAATGGGACTTCCTCATCCTCCACAACATGCCCTATGCTCTCCCCAAACCTGCTTCAGAGCAGATTTAGAGGGGCATGGAGGGAAAGGGGTCTTGTTTTGCAGGTGCAAATCCTTGTGTTGATTGGACCATTACTTAGCGCTATATTGGATATAAGACAGGGTCATGACACAACCATGATATCAAAACAAAGATTCTAAGATACTAGCAGAAAGACTACCTAGAGCTTATCTACGTGTTCATTCTTGAATATAATTGCTGCAAATATAGCACAACACTTAAAACAGTGTGCACTCCCTTAGATATCAAAACGCTAGATGCTAATTCTGAGAGATCAACATGCTCTGGACTTATAAAATCCCAATAATTAGATCAGACACTTATTAACAATGTGACATTCTCAAGCACAGTAACATTCATGATCCCCAATTAAATCCTGATACCGGCAGTCTGCTTCACTTATCAATGTTAATACATCAATGATATCCCCACTGTTGCATTGTAGATTTTTTTATATATTTAAAAAAAGATGTAAGTCCAATTCTTCTCCCATACTTCCTGTAAAGTGATCCACACTTTGTAGATTTCAGGTGACTATTTTAATTGAGATGTGGAGCCTGTCTTGCTCTCATCCCCCTGTCTATTTGGTCCTTCTGATTAGGCTGATGGTAGGGAGACTCCAACAACATATTGAGAGCCAAAGGTTCCCCATCCCCATGTTACAGCACATACCAGTGGGAGAAATTGTCTCTGGACAACGTATAACATGTGGTTTGAAACCAGAAAGTCAGTCATGGAAAACACGTGTTGTGGTGGGGGCTAACAAGACACCCACTGTTGCTGGGTGGGAAAAGAGGGTTGGCCACCATTATGATTGAGTTCTGCTTGTTGCTGGGGGGATTTATATGTTGCCATTTTGTGATTGACAGCCATAGCCTTTATATGCTCTGTGTGCAGCGTTGAGCTTCCTCTTTTCACTACGCGCACTGGATCACCCGCCCACCCTCCCTAATTTTAGGGTTGTTCGTTCGACCTTGCTATGCCTGTCATGGGGTCACCTGCTTTTGGGGCAGGGGCCCAGTAGGAATTTTGTCCATTTGGCTGATTGGCTGGTGCCATTTGGTTTTTGCCTACTGCGTAGCAAATCGTCACAACTTGTAAGGTTGCGGTTAGGCGTTGGTTTTATGAATTGGTTGGTGGAGGGGTATGGATTGGCTGTGCCTGCCCCTCCAAATGCTGCTGCTGCAAGGGTATTCCATTAAAGGAATCCCGGGACTTGCCATGCTTTTGTCTGAACCCCTGTCAAGGGGTTAGGACCACACAAGAGCCCCTGGGAGCATTTGGAGAGAGGTGAGGGCATGGTACCCAACTCCATCTTTCTCCCCCAAAATGTTTTCCCTTTCTGACTTTGCGTGTGTGCAAATGCCAGTCTGTCCCCATGCAGGGTCAGATAGTCACAACCAATGCCTAAGCAACCACACACGTTTCTTGTATTTTAATAAAGTTGTGGCCAAAATTACGCCAAAAACCTTAAACAAAAATTATGTGTCAATTGTGTGTTATTTGTGGGGTGGCTTGGGGACCTCAACACACAACTAATTTACAATGATATTAGTATGACTTAACTTTAGCTGGAACGTGTCTCAGCTCAACATCAATTATTTTCAGAGACAGTTTACTATCTCAGAACAACCCTATTTCAAAAATAATGAATTACTGTTATTTCAGGGCATCGAAATGCCACAGTACTATGCAGGGCTTTTTTTTCAGCTGGAACTCAGTTCCAGCACCTCTCAGGTGGGTGCCATTGCCATTCTAAGAGAACGAGGGAGACATTCATGGTGAGGAGTTCCAGAACCTCTTTGTTTTAAAAAGTAGAAAAATAGCACTGGTACATTCAACAAGGGCTGGCCCAAGACATTTTGGCACCTGAGGCGAAGTGCAAAATGGTGTCAGCCTCCTCACCAGGGAAGAAGGGGTGAGTGAAGATCTATGTCAGGAACAAGAGAGGAAGAAAGATCTACATCCAGACCTACTGCTTCTGTGGATCCTGCTGCTGTCTCACCTGGCTGTCTCACCTGGCCTCTTGGGTGGGCAGGCCCTGCACGCCACATACAAGTACTTCTCCCAGAAATACCAATATATCAGAGGATAGCTCAATCGGAAGAGCACAAGGCTCTTTATCTCAGGGTCAGGGGTTGGAGTCCCACATTGGGCAAAAGATTCCTGCATTGCAGGGGGTTGGACTAGATGACCCTTGTGGTCTCTTCCAACTCTACCATTCTATGATTTTATCTGGCATGCTAATACTTAGTTTGAATTTTTCCCCACAAATTTTTCAAAGAATTTTTTTCCAAAAAAAATCAAGAACATTTTTACTTTCTTACCGGGTTTTGTTTTTCTGGAATATCTACCAGTGGTGTTGAGAGGTCTTTATTCTTCTGAAAATAACAATGACAAAACACAGTTAGGTAACAGAAGTTAGAGTAAATATTAGACATAACTGGATCCTTCCAGCTCTCTTCTTCAAGGGTATTTTTCCATAACAGCTATAGGGGGTGACTCTTTCAGGAATGCAGTATCTCCTCTCACTGAATGTTCAGCTTTCATTACAAAACATAAATCTGGAAACCTCTTACTTGTGACTTCCCTCGCTTCTTGGTAGTTATGCACAGTATTGCCCTTCAGGTAACTTTAAACACATTAGGTTACCTATATGCTATGTTCCAACTATTCTGCAATGATCTCCCGCCTTAGTCCCCTTGACTACAGAAGTTCTGGCTACTAGTTTGTGATGCATTAAGATAGTCTGATATAGTTGTTCATGCATTTATCTCTGTAAGTGCATTCATTAATTGTTCTTATTACCCCAAGGCTTTTTAAAAAGGGAACTCTATTGGCTGCAACTTCACAGTATCCCATTCGGTTTTTGAATGTTCATCAGAAGGAAATGTAAATTTGTACCAATTTAATTCTATACAGTAGAACCTCTACTTACAACCACCTCCACTCGTGGACGTTCCAAGTTGCGACCGTGGCAAACCTGGAAGTAACCGGTGGGTTTGCCGCCATTCGCGCATTCGCAGGAGTGACTATCGCAGTCCACGCATGCACAGGAGTAGCGATCACTTTCACGCCTGCACAGAAGCGTGATCGCCGTTTGCGCATGCACAGAAGTGGGCAATCACTGCCCCCACCTGCGCACAATGGCGCATCTCCCAGCGACCCATTGTTCCATAAGCACGTGCCTCCGGAACGGATTGTGGTCATGAGTAGAGGTTCCACTGTACATAAATCTTAGATTAGGGTTCAGAAACCTGTGACCCTTCCAATGTTGCTGGACACCAACTCCCAACAGCCACAACAAGAGGGCCATAGATTCACTATTGCTGTCTTAGATTGGCTGCATCAACAGGAAGGAATATAGGGTCCAGATCAAGGGAAGTAACACTACCAATATTCCCACTCTATTCTGCCTTGGCCAGACCACACCTGGAATCCTGTGTCCAATTCTGGGAACCACAATTTAAGAAGGATGTTGACAAGGTGGAAGGTGTGCAGAAGAGGGCAACCAAGATGATCAAGGGTCTGGAAACCAGGCCTTATGAGGAGCACTTGAAGGAGCTGGGTATCTTTAGTCTGGAAAAGAGGAGACTGAGAGCACATGTGATAGCCATCTTCAAATATCTTAAGGGCTGTCACATGGAAGAGGGAACATGCTTGTTTTCTCCTGCTCTGGAAGGTGGGACTTGAACCAATGGCTTCAAGTTACAAGAAATGAGATTCCAACTAATTCAAAAAAAAATTCTGACAGTAAGAGCTGTTTGACAGCAAAACAGACTCCCATGAGAGGTGGTGGACTCTCCTTCCCTGGTGGTTTTTAAGCAGATGTTGGATGGCCATCTGTCATGGATGCTTGAGCTGAGATTCCTGCATTGCAGGGGATTGGACTAGATGACCCTTTGGGTCCTGTCCAACTCTGCAATTCTATGATTCTATTATTGTTTTCTTTACCATTCCCTCACCCTTGAATTGCAGTCGATGTATAGTATAAAAGTCAAGGATAATGGGCACTATTCAACCCAAGGAATGGACCCAATAAGCCATGTCTATTAATTTCATTGTATATACTCTGAATAGAACTAGCATTGGATAGAACGCTTCATATATATATATAGTCTAAAATTTGGAGTTTCCCCATATGCTGTAAAAAACAAAATACAAAATGTGGTTCAGTATTACATATACATATAAATTTGCCTTCAGTCCTATCCCTCAGAAGTAAGACTCACTGTGTTCAGTAGGCCTTACTCCCAGGAAAGTATACATAGGATTGCAGCCTCAAGTCAGACAAAGTCAACCAGGTTCTGTATATAGTTATAACATACCACTTGATCCATTGCGTGATGCAAGTATTTCTGAGTTTCAATAAGGGCAGCTAATAATTTTCCCGTTGGCCGGCAACTGGCATACACTCCAAAGCAAAGCAAAATCAAACAGCTGGAGTGCATTGTGGTGAGAGTAGCGTGCTTCGGTTTTCTTCTGCTGAATCTAGCAAAACTTTTGATGCTCACCCTTTTTATATACAAAGGATGCTAAAGGAAATGATTAATATCTACCACAAAATCGGGTAAACCAAACCAAGGTTGGAACTGCTGGAAATCACCTTGAAGAGTGCAGACTTTTCACTGTTTATCTGATGTTGAGGTGCATGCAGCTTTGAAATAAGAGCCATCTTAATCATTGAATATATATAGATATGGGCACACTTTCTACCAAAATAAGCACATGCATAAAGCTCACCATCATCCAAGAATTGAGACTGAATCTTTGAAACTAGAAAGTACCTTTTTTAGAATCATGTCCTTAGTTGATGAGACAGAAAGGTACTTTTTGTTTAATCATGTCCTTAAATAACCTAATTAATTAATTAATTAGGGGAGGAGCTTAAATGTGATATCTGAAAGTATGGGCTCAGTGTCAATGGCAGTTTATATTTGATCCCTAAGGGTTGAGGGGTGCTGCTACTTCTTAATAAGGGCTTTGCATCAATTTTTATTAAATTTCATTTAGTCAGTTTATATACTGCTTAATTACAGATGTCTCTCAGCTGCGTGTAGAAACTCAAAGCAATGAAAAAAAAATGAATTAAGACTATAAAATCAGAATTCAGTTAAAAGCATGCTGCAATAAAGAAGAATAAGTCTTCAGTAGATGCCAGAGGTTCAATAGGGCGGCAAATGGAAGGGTTTTCCATAAAATTGGACACACACAAACACAATTTTGAATGCATGGCTCCTGTGGAAGCCAAGCCATGCATCCAAGCCCTGGGAGTTGCCCAACAGTGAGTCCCACAAAGATCTCAGTGATCTGGCAGAGACTTCAGGGATCAGGCAGTACTTGAGCTACCCTGGACTCAAGCAGTTAAGTGCCTTGTAAATTAATACCAGAACCTTGGAATGCCGCCAGTGCATTTGTCTCATAGATTTGTGTACTGGGGATATGAAACATGCTCATGGTGCTTGGTCTTGTAATGGCCATTTGTAATCATGCATATATAGCACAGAGATACCACCGTAACCACTATAAGCTTAACCAACAGTACCCTAAGCAGCTGCAGGTCCCAGATTTCTTTGGAAAAGCTATGATGGCATTTTAACTTCTGTTTGTTTTAAAGTGGGGTTGTATCCCCCCCCCCATTTTTCCTGTTTTCTCTTTTGTAATTTGTTTTGAGGGTTGTTGTTTTTTTTACAATCAAGTAGTGTTTAAATTTTATGAAATGAAATAAATAAATGGAAGTTGTGGAGTTTACAACTTGGAAAATCATACTGCCTGAATTTTCATCGTCATAAAAATTTAGCTATCTGCTACCGGTTGCAGCTTTAGACAGCAAGCTTTACGAGAAAATGAGTGAGTGATAGGAATCAGGCAGTGTATGGAGCATGTGCTGTTCTTACTAATTATGTAAACCTATTTAGGACAATCTACCGTATTTTTCTGTGTATAAGACTGTTTCAAAACACAGACGCACACCCAGTGGTTGAAGGAGAGAAGGAAGGAAGTGCAATGTGGCCGACTCTGACCTGCAGTGATCCCTAATTTGCTATCTATCGCAAAGAAGACTCAACACTCCAGCAGTTGGGAGAAAATGTTATATTTATTTAAACATAACACAGAATATGCAGCTGAATGGTCTTTGCTGAAGACTTACATCAAAAGACAGCATATGGCTGTCAGGTTCATGCAAAGTATGGTTTTATCTGGACTTGACTGTATTCCAGGACATATTATTGACTGCTCCATTGTGCATTGTTTATATCTGTCTGCAGTAACCATTTCTCCATTTTCTTTTGCTATGGACAAAATGTATCTCTCATACATGACAGATGGCCATCCAACCTCGGCTTTAAAACTTCCAAGAAACAAGAGCCCACCACATCTTGTGGGAGTCTGTTCCACTGGCAAACAGCTCTTACTGTCAGAAAGTTCTTCCTGATGTTTAGTTGGAATCTCCTTTTCTCTGGAGCAGGAGAAAACAAGCTTGCTGCCTCATAATATTTGTAGACTTGCTTCCGACTTGGTCTTTTATATCTTAGTTCATCTTTTATGTTTGTTAACAATATGCATTAACTTGTAAATTGTTAGATGCCTTGGACATTTTAAATTTTAACATTTTATGGAATGGTTGAAATTTTAAAAAGGAAAAAGAAAAACAGGAATGACAATTTGATACTGGCCTGAGTTCCCACCATTGCCAAATCTCCTTTTTACATGTACATGCACACACACTTCTAAACATAACTTCTAATTAGAACATGACCGAGAATGGTTAAAACTGCAGATCTGTGATCAAAGTTAGTAACACTCCCAACAAAATGTCTGATGAGGTTAGAGTAGCATCAGATAAAGCTAAGCTAAATCATCTTGTGCAGAATATATGTCTACATGACCATGGTGTATCTTAGATAACAATTGCTAAATATAATACAGATTAACTGGAAGGGTTGCAATAATTTTTAAATGTTTATTAATCTCTTTCCTGTACCACAAAGTGATTCGTGAGTGCCCAAATCTATGTTAAGCAATGCTGTCACACAAGACCTTTGTGTGTAGACTAGGGGTGGAAAAGAAATATGATCCAGCTTGAATTTAAAGGTAAATCTACCTAACTTACTTTCCAAAACAATGAACAAATTAAAACACAGCCATCCTTTCATGCTTCTCTGATGTTTGCAATGCAGTTCTCTGGGTAAGTAAAGTGTAAACACAATACATGTGCATACAAATGCATATATTTGGTAAATAATGTATAAAATGCCTTATGTTAGGGGACATTGTTTTACTAAAAATTCACACTGAGGACTCTTTTAAAATATGGACATGTGGAGAGCTGAGCTTAAAATTGGGAAAATGGTAAACTGAGAGAAAGTGAAACTGACAGATTCACCCATCTGTAGTGTGGATTAGATATTGATTTTATGGGCCCATGCAAAGTAACCCCTCCCCCTCCATAGAAGGCATTCATTTCTATTATAATTGGAAAACCTTTACTTTCACTACTGATTGCCTTTGTGCATTGGCCTGGAAAGCTCTGTTGGTTAGAACGTGGTGCTGATAACGCCAAGGTTGCTGGTTCGATCCCTGTATGGGCCAGCTGCATATTCTTGCATTGCAGGGGGTTGGACTAATGATCCCCAGAGTCGCTTCCAACTCTGCAGTTCTATGATTCTATTCATCTATGTATGACCCATGGCTTATGATGTTAACAACACAAAGAATCCTGCACTTACACTTCTTTCCACACTGAAAGTGTTTCTTCTAATTAGTACACTCTGAACGAACTCATTAGCTACAACATTAAGATCAATTTCCTGAGATTTCCATTTCTGTGTTTGAGGCATGCTTGTCCCACGCTTAACCCTACAAATGTATTTATTCTGCAAAGGCATGAGAATGACCTTTCTGATGTACAAGAGGAAACAGGCCTGGCCAGACAAACTTTGTCAATTCTGGTAGCAGCTCACACAGATGTTTCTTTCCTTGCTCACCAGTTGGAAGATCAACCACATCCTGATTCAAGAGCTGCAAGTTCTTTCCACTCCCTTGCAATATCCAACAATATGTCATGATGAAGCTGTACAGTGGTACCTCTGGTTATGTATTTAATTCATTCCGGAGGTCCGTTCTTAACCTGAAACTGTTCTTGACCTAGAATCATAGAATCATAGAGTTGGAAGAGACCACAAGGGCCATCGAGTCCAACCCCCTGCCAAGCAGGAAACACCATCAGAGCACTCCTGACATATGGTTGTCAAGCCTCGGCTTAAAGACCTCCAAAGAAGGAGACTCCACCACACTCCTTGGCAGCAAATTCCACTGTCGAACCTGAAGCAGCACTTTAGCTAATGGGGCTTCCTGCTGCCGCCGCACCACCAGAGCATGATTTCTGTTCTCATCCTGAAGCAAAGTTCTTAACCCGAGGTACTATTTCTGGGTTAGCGGAGTCTGTAACCTGAAGCATATGTAACCTGAAGCGTATGTAACCTGAGGTACCACTGTACTCAAATAGTTTCCAAGTCAGTTTTGTGAAAACTTAGAATATATGTGCTGTCATCCTCTCCTACAGCAAACTTTTCTGTTTTGCTCATGTGAGAAGCAACTGTATAAACTGATGCTGATATTATCAATGATTTCATAGAAGATTTTCCTGTCGAAAGCTTTAGGAGACTCAAACTGGTGAGGACCAGGGGTGTAGCATGGGGGACAGGGGGGCCATGGCCCCAGGTGCACAAGTTTTGAACAGGTGAGCCAGGTGACCCCCTCAGGCGACCCCAGAGCAGTGCAGCAGGGTGGATTCTGCCACAGTCTGACAAGCTATATTTAATATGTCCAGTTGCCCAAATTTAACCAGTAATAACTGAAGCATGAAGTAAAAAGCAAACCTTAACATGTTTCGGGCATATCCATCCCCCAGGACCTCTTCTCTCCTCAGATGGCACATTCTCAACTCATTTGGGCTTCTATAAGAAGAAACTACAATTATAAGGTACACACAGAGCTACAGTTCCCAGCACTTTGAGCAAACTATGGTTGCCATGATTCTTCTGTGCCGTGAACTGGCAGGACTGCGAGGAGGAGAAAAAGGATTGCAGCAAGGAGTGTAACTGTGACTGGGGCACACTGGGGCAAGCTGGGGATGGAGAAGGAGAGGTTGATGGAGACAATGCTCACAGAATGACGGAGGATAGCAAGGGGGTGGGAACCAGAGCAGCAGAACCCATCAGCAGAGCCAGAGGGACCCCTGTCTCCCCAAACACAGCAGAGCTCTGAGGCTTAAGGAGCAGTTGGACATTCTAGGAGGCTAAGTCAAGCAAGGACCCACAACCCAGCCCACTAGCTGGCCAGGTGGGGCTTTTGCTAGCTCTGGGAGGTGGTTTGTGATTCCTCTGCTGGAGTAGGCTCAGAACAGGTGAGGATCACATGCCTCATCAAGCCCAGATGCTGCAATCAGCATGTAAGGTATAAAAGGGAAGCAGACCTGAGGTGCTGTGTCTACTGAACTTCCACTGCTGGTTGGACCACAGCTTGGATGTTCCAGCAAGCTCTTTGGGACGGTGATTGTGCAGGATTGACCTCCAGATGTCCTGATCCCTGGGTTGGCTGCAGAGGCAGGAACATGGCTGGACTTTGGACTTGTTGGCCTACCAAACTATGTGCTAGCATCTGCCATAGGCTTGTGTGCACCAGTGGGACTTGCTGCCAGTTACCCCATGGTTCATGGGGAAGCTATGTGTTTTGGTTTTTTACTTTTAGCTTTTATAGGACACTGTTGTTTTGATGGGTAGCTAATTTATTTTCCCTTTCTGAAGGGATCATTCTTTATTGTAGTCATCACCACAACTTCATTATACATTGACTTTAACATCTGCAAAATTAGGCTGAACTGAAAACAGAAATCAATTGCTGCACACGGTGACCTGTTTCAAGTAGTTCTTGAAGCGGGCAGTGGCAAAGAACAGAGAAGTGACTGTAATCAAAGAAATGAGAAGAAAACAAGGTACTTTCAGAAAACAAAGTACCTCATTAAAATCAGATTTTTCTCTGTGTTCGCATCATTTATTGATAATCCTCTCTTCATTCTGCTCACTTGGGAGGGGGAAGTAATTTATTTATTTATTTATCAGATACCCTCCTCATTATTTTGCTATTGCATCCAGGGTTATTAAACACTTCATGAGGAGGACGTGATGGGCTAGGTCACAAAAGGGCATCCATCAACTGATGGATGCAACATCAAACAATAGCATGCTTGGATTAGTGGATCATCATAGCCTTAACAGCACAAACAGAATTTTCACAGCACCCATTGGGTAGGAATGGGGGAGAAATGTGTTTGGGTCACATTTTAATGGGGACTTACATAATTTGCATTATAACATTTATTTGTTTGTTTTATTTATTTGTTTTATTTATTTATTTATTTATTTATTTTACATACCACTCTTCAGCAGAAGATATTAAGCAGGAATGCACATAAAATGTGTAAATAAACTGAAATATGCATTTTGAATTTTGGTGCAGCCATTTATTTATTTTAAAAAGTAACAATCGCACAGTGATGTGTCAATGGGTTGAATTCAAGACTTGAAAAAAGGGGAACAAGAGAGTAACAGAAACTGACTGTTTTCTTCATCCCTACTTCAAATGTTTTCCTTCGTTGTTGTTTTTTATTTCTAGCTCTATCATTATGGCCAAGTTCTTTATCAGATTGCCCCGCAACAGGTGGCTTGAAAGAGAATATGGTCACTGCTTGGGACCTTGGCAGAGTTGACCTTAGTTCAAAGGTTGTTTGTGTGTCATTTTGCCAACATTTCATCAGCATCAAGGAGAAGTCCTCCTTGCCATTTTGCTGATTTTCAGAGATTTCTATGAGAGGAAATGTTTCCCTATTCATGAAATGTTGGGTTGCCAGACCTTTAAATTTTGCTGTGAACCATCTGCTTTTTGCTGGTTGAGAGAATGGTTGCTTTTTGAAAACATTGAAGTGTTAGACAATGGCAGATGAAATTGATGGACTATATGGAATTGGCGGAAATGACTGGCAAGATCCAAGACCAGGGTGAAGAGTCGGTGGAAGAAGATTGGAAAAAGTTTAAAGACCATTTATAGAGATATTGTAAAATTAAGGAATGTTAGAAAAATGTTGGAATGAAATTATATGGCTTTAGCAGAAATGTCATAAGGAATTAGGTATAAATAGATTAATAGAAAATTAAAGGAAAAGTACGGCAAGAATGTGTTAAGATAATTATAGAACAGAAAACAGAGTAAGATGGAAAGGAATTGCTGAAACAAATAATAGAAGTGGAATACAAAAGGGAGGTGGAAGGAGGTCTCTGGAAATAAGTGAATAATTTATAATATATTGAAAATGTTTGAGGTGATTTTAAACTGTTTTTGCTTGTTTTTATTTGTTTTTTTAGTCCATGTAGCGTTTTTGTATTGTATTTGCATTGTTTTTTCTTTTTTTCTTTTTTCTTTTTTTGTTTGTATTGGAAATGTTAAAAAAGTAATAAATATCATTTTTTTAAAAAATGAAATGTTGGGTTTTCTGTGACTAGGATTGTATCCATCAGTGTGTAGTTAAATATGTTTTGATTTGGCTGCAATCATGGGTGAGCCCTAGAAGCCTAGTGTGCTGGTAGAGGTGATGTCTTCCCCTGGCCTGCACTGATACCGAAAGTCCGTCCTGCACCTTTGCAGCTGCCCCAGACCACAATCACCACTTCCCTCCAGCAATGGAACTCAGAGGCAGTGGTAAATTAAGAATGGAAGGTCACATCTAGTTGATATGGACAGCAGACCAAGTTAAAATTGCAACTGTGCTTAAAGTTCCCTGTTGCCATGGCATTGTTTAATGAAGATGGGACCATGTTTCTGTAACCAATGAAATGTCCACATGTGCTGATCATGCCCCAAGTAGCTTATGCAGTGTTCATGTGAACTTCATATCTTTGCATTGTGCACAGAATCTTGGAGTGTAAACTCTCTGTGTCTCTTTCTTGCTTAAGCTTAAAATGAAGTTTTTTCTATGTTTCAACCAGTGCTTTTTTCTGGGGGAATGCAGGGTACCCTTTTGTGAATCTTTGTATTTTTGTTCATTTACTGTATTTATTTTTCCCGATTTGACCTATAAAATGGTGATTTCCTTGAGTCAAAACATTTTTTTAGAAAAAAAAAAAGCACTGGTTTCAACCCCTGGCAGGAATTTTATTGACTTTTGAGTTACCCCAGGAACACTACATTACCAGTTGCTGTAACCACAGGAGGGGAGAAGATTTTCCCACAGGCATCTGAATGGCCACAGTGTGAACAGCATGCTGGATTAGGTGGGTCACTGGCCTGCTCCAGGGAGCTCATCTTTTGTTTGTCCTCAGTAAATTTATGTCAAACCAGAACACCACCGTGTTACTCTAATGAATAAGAATGGACTGGTGTCACTCTAGGAAAGAGGGGCGGGGGGACTTAACCCGAGAGACAGAAACCTAGGGCATAGGCAGCTCACAGTTTTGAGGTTTGGGGTTGGTGGTACGAAGCAGCCCTTGAAGTTTCAGTTTTGCTCTTGTAGGTCTTAGCAGGGAGGAGCTGGGGAA